CCATTTGCTGTATATAGGCTGTATATGTGTCTACAACGAACTACGGTTATAACGAACTAAAATTAATGGTCCCTTTTAGTTCGTTACAACCGTAGTTTACTGTAAGTGGTATTGTTAGCAAACCAACGGACAAAACTGTGCGAATTTTTGACCCGAGGTTGAAGCGGAATGAAAATATTGCTGTTTCTCGTTTCTTTGACGGAAGCTAAAACCTAAAGACCTATCGGACAGCTATGGTGTATGTTACCGTCTGAATTATTCAAATAAATAAAAACCAGTTCCATTTGCACAAGAAATATCTGCTAAACGCAGAGCCGATTGTACGATGCCGGCTATGTGTTCATGAATCAATAACAAATAGTGATGATACCAGGTGTTCGCGAAAAGGTCGGTGTATCCTCCCCCCACTTGCATGTGACACCCGTCACGAACACATGCAAAGGCAAGACAGGGTTCATTTGAAAATCCCACGGGAACAAAACTGCGTTTTGAAATTTCGTATTATTACATCTTAATCGTCATTCTCTCATATCATTTAGGGGAAATTATTATAATGAGTGAGTGAGTTGGGTTAAACGCCGCTTTTGACATTATTCCAGTTATATCGCTTAATGTGGGAGGAAAGCCCGAAGTGACGCAGCTCTCAGACGTTTACCACTTCGGTGAAACCCACGAGCACGAGTATGGTGCTAACAAACCTAGAAACATAATTCGGGCGAACCGGGATTCAAACCCACAATCATAGGTTCCTGGCGTGCCCAAGGGACGCAACTCTGCACAGCGAATCGCGGCGCCTTAGACGACTGGGCCACCCGTGCCCCCGAAATTATTATAATGCTTTTGAAGACCCTCTTTTATATTTTGATGCCAACAGTGTTCATAGACAATAAAAAACAACACAAAATTGAAACTGTTTCACTTCACGTTAGACGAACTAACCTGACTCGATAAAAAAACAAAGAAGCAAATATAAATTACTAAATATCAATGCTGCAACGATTCAGGGATCGTTGCTGACGGTATCACTGAGTGCGTAAGCCAGCTGATGATTACCCAGGCTGGTGCAAGATGCTAATGCCCTTGTGTACACTGGGAAAGGGATTTCTCATTTTGTTGTTGAGATAAACGACAGATAAGAGACAAACAGTCAGCGAACAAAGCAGCTTGTAGAACTAGGGAAGTCCCCTGCCTGATTGCACCAAGGAGAATTGTGATGTATCGCCGTCAACAAGTCATACAAGTCACCTTCCGATGCGGAGCTTGTGCCTCCGTGGTTTAGTGGTAGAGCGTCCGCCCGGAGAGCGAATGTCCGGGGTTCGATCCCCGGCCGCGTTATACCAAAAGATGTTAAAAGATTGTTATGGGTTACCCTGTCTGGCATTAAAGGGATAAAAGGGACTGGTTGGCTTGGAGTCAGTATTCTGTGTCTGAGTGGGGTATTCATGTTAAACTGCAGCATGGTATCTCAGTGAGCTAGCACTATAAATCGGCATCAGTCCGGACTAGCACAAACAGCCACACGCAGCAACACACACATACACACACACACACACACACACACACACACACACACACACACACACACACACACACACAGACACACACACACACACACACACGTGCATGCACGTCGCTATGTATATGCGATAATCTTGGACGCGACGTTAAACCCCATTTCACCTCACCTCACCGAAGCACCAGATTTGATGTGGTCGCCTCTTAAGCCATGCATGGGTTCGCGAAACCTATTTTCCACCCGGATCTTCACGTGAAGAATCTACCCAACGAATCCCCAGGGGTAACCGCGCTAGCTGTAAGACCTGATTAAAGGGGGGTCGGGTAGTGTTACTATAAAGTTGCTGAACGTCTACAATTACTCGACGGCATGCATCAACCATAGTTTTCTGGTACTGATTCCACTATATACATCCCTGATACAGTTGTATGAGTGCTGGGTGCGATGTAAAACAACATTTACACACCCTCGCGTCCTTGTCGGCTCTCATCCATCGAACATTTCGTTCTGTCTCCCCGTTTCTCTTTGTTCCAAGCTTTACATATAATAATTTATCTTCATGTAATCGCCATATAAATATATGTGTCTCAATCTTTCCACACCAATCTTCATTGTATCGTCAAATTTCTATGTCCTAATCTCTCTCTGCTTAAGCATTTCATCACATTTGTATGTCCAAATCTCTCCATGCTTAACCATCTCGTCAAATTTGTATGTTCAAATCTCTATCTGCTAAACCATTTCATCGCAGTTATATGTCCAAATCTTTCTATGCTTAACCATTTCATCCCAATAGTTTGTCCAATACTCTGGGGTCCTGTCATCTGAGTATAATGTTCTCACACCCACACCTTCCTCCCATCTTCCTTGTTCCGCCGTCATCAACATCCGACTTCCTCACCGCATGGTTGACACGTACAACAAACGCCGTCAGTTTGTGCAAATTGGCTCTGGCCACATTAGCGCTGTACATGGGAGCACATTGATTGTACGAGGGGATCTTGAAAGGGAAGTCACGACCTAAGAGGACTAACACTTTAGTGCTGTGTCGGAATCAATGAGGCAATCAACATTCTTTAACGTGTTTGTATTTTGTGCCATTGATTACCCAGACCAATTGACGCCCTGAAGGCACATTCCACTGCCCAGGTTATCCATCGATATCCCAGAACCTGTAAATAACCTGAATGTCTTTTAAAATGGTAAACCTCGTCTTAAAATGACGTATGTAATAATGCTTTATTCGTTTTTCCTTAATTATTCGTTTAAGATGCGTTTCTTTTAATATGCGTAATCCAAAAGCTCACTTCCTAAAATCTCGGGTTAGAATCACCGTCTTGCAATGAATGCCGCATTAATTTATGATATACGCATTATTTTGACATGAATTTCTGTTTTTAAGTGAATATGCATGATCAAATAAGATCATTTCCTGATCTCCTTTGCAATTGGACCCGTGAAGATTCCGGGGTAGAATAGGTCTTCAGCAACCCATGCTTGCCGTAAAAGGTGACTATGCTTGTCGTAAAAGGCGACTAACGGGATCGGGTGGTCAGGCTCGCTGACTTGGTTGATGCATGTCATCGATCCCAATTGCGTAGATCAATGCTCATGATATTAATCACTGGATTGTCTGGTCCAGACTCGATTATTTACAGACCGCCGTCATATAGCTGGAATATTGCTGAGTACGGCGTTAAACAACAAACCAACCAACCAACCAACAACCTTTGCAATTGACGTATTAGAATACCTGCGTCATTGGTTTAGCATTAATGCTGTTTTAGTTTGCACTTCTTGTAAAAGTAATTGTGGGGTAAATGCGTGTGTGGTGGGAGACAGCTCCCTCACATCCTGTATTGAAGTTGTCGTGTGTTTGTTTGTTGCGTAACGCCGCATTCCAGCTATATGAGGGGGGTCTGTAGCGGACAAACCAGTGACACGGGGTACAATGACCCCCGTTCAACCAAGTCACCGAGCCGGACCACCCAATTTATTAAGTCGCCTCGTACAACAAGCATAGCTTGCAGGAGACCAATTCTAACCCGGAAACAATACTAGACAAACTTGACGTATTACAATAATTGCGGCATGGAATTATCCTATGATTACTATTTTAGGATTCGTTTATTTTAAAAAGTTATTTTGGGAGTGCAAAGGCGTGATCAAACGAGATCTCTTCCTGCTTGCCAGATAAACACCTCCCCGACACGTTCATCTGTTGTAACGGTAAACCCATGCATGACTTCAATGTTGCCCATGCTGAAAATCACGTTTGTCTTTAATTGACTTGATATATCCCGATAGTGACCGTATTTTGGGAGGCAAACTATTTTTGTAACGTCAGCCAAATAAAATTTTGTGTTAATTCAAAAGTTCCTATTGCCCGCTCTTGTGAAATCCCGTGTAAACCCACTATGGGTCGATATATCGAATTTCTTTTTAGGGTCAACATTTTTTGTTAAAAGTACAATTCAAATTTTAAGAATAAAATTTCATGTAAATTCACAAGTTCCTATTGACCGCTCTTGTCAAAACCCGTCTTAACCCACTATGGGTCGATATATCGAATTTCTTTTTAGGGTCAACATTTTATTGTTAAAAGTTCAAATTTAAAGAATAAAATTTCCTGTTATATTAAATCTGTTCCATATTCAACTTTAGGAGAGTAATACTGTTTAATAATTCATAATTAATTATGAAAAAGAGCGGGTCTTCAAGCGCGTACTTGAACTTAGGTATAAGCGACACTTGACCTAACCATTCATAGTATTTATTAAGTTAATGTTTATCCCCTAAGTAGATACGCATGTACAGTGATGGACGTATATTTAACGTAAACATAGTATGCAATCGAATACTTGTTAACACAGTACTCCTTTTAAAGATAGAGCAAGTTTATTTTATAACCTTTCTTTATAAGGTGAAATACTTCCTATTTTGAAGACATTGTAAGAATGGCTGATGTCAGTCAACAGATGGGTAAGTGAATATGGTTTTACGCCCATATTCAAGTTATATCATGGCGTGGAAACATCAGAAGTCTATTTTAGTGACTCCGCCGATCTAATGCTGGAATATTGCTAAAAGCGGCGTAAAACTATACCAAGTCACTTCAGGTGATGTGGGGTTTAACGTCGCGTCCAATGTTATTGCACTTATATAGCGACGTGCATGTACGTGTGTGTGTTTGTGTGACTGCTTGTACTAGTCCGGACTGATGCCGATTTATAGTGCTAGCTCACTGAGATACCATGCCGAAGTTTAACATAAATACCCAACTCAGACACAGTATACTGACTCCGAGCCGAACCAGTCCTTGTTTTATCCCCTTAAACCGTGTCGTTATTACGAGGACCTCGATATCAACCACTAGTGTGTCCAGATCTGATAATAGTCATAAAACTTGAATATAACTGACTGCTGTCTCTCACTAGCTGTTGCACCTTGTGTCACGTTTTCAACGATGTATTTCTGTTTGCAGGTAGCAGCGTGTCCTCAATGAGCTCAAGCAGGTCAGACGCTGAGAGTGAAAGTGTCAGCCTATCTGGTTCCGATTCGGACTCTCTGCTCCAGAACGACCCCACCAAGCTGACGGTCCAGTTCTATGCGGACACCCATGAGGTCATTCCCCTGCTTGACCTCTACCAGCCGGTCCTAGGATGGATAGACTCGGACCTTCAGCTCTTCAAAATCAGAGAAAGAAGTTCCAATACTGATCGTGAGGAAACACTTTCGGAGCATGTGTCCAGCCTCGCTATCATTGTGTTCCTGCACGAAGAAGGTATGCTTGGCTGCGAACGGATACAATCAGCCAGACGACATTTTGAAAAACCGCCATGGAAATTTCATCATTCCGAGCAACTCGTGAAGGGAAAGATAAACCCGTATCCCTACAATTCACAAGAATTTTACTACACTTCGTCCGATCTGCCATTGTGGGCGGTGAGGCAAGTGCATTATGGGAAAGAGCACATCCGGTTGGTTGTGTACGCGAGTGATGAAAACTGGGATGATATGCTTGATTTCTATAAACTCATTCTCGGAGCTGACCCTGAGCTGTCAAGATCAGACTTCTGTCTCTTCACGATCCATGCCCAGATACACTACAATGTTCAGTTCGCCCTGAAGCGTCTACCGGCCACCACGTCTCCAAAGATCCTTCAGTCCGTCACCCTGCAGTTCAAAGTGGCGGAAGTCGGACATATCGTTCCCCTCTTTCCCAACATCTGTCGGCCCTTGTGTGACAACCGTTGGGAGACGACGGACCACGATGGCAACTCCATCGTGCTGGAGGTGACAGGTTCATCACCCAATACGTCATTGGACAAGTCCTTCTCAAGGTTGACCCCCCTGGACTCTTCTTTAGACAGGTCACATGGTCAGATGAGCCTCAGTTCCTCATCCAGGAGCAGTGTCTGCAGCAACAAAGAGATGCAACAGGAAAGGACACTCAGCTGTTCCTCTTTCAAAGAACAGGTCCAGGGGAACAGTTTCAAAGAAGCGGAACTGAGGAATTGTTCTTCGTTCAAGGAACGGGATCCACGGAACTCGTTCAAGGACGGGGAACAGATAAGCTCCTTCAAAGAAAGGGAACCGAGGAATTGTTCTTCATTCAAGGAACGGGATCCACGGAACTCGTTCAAGGACGGGGAACCAAGGAACTGTTCTTTCAAGGAACGAGATCAACGGGCCTGTTCCTCCTTCAAGGAGCAGGAACATAGACACAATGATTTGAATAACTCAAAGCAAAGCAAGACACGTAGGTGTCCATCTCTTGCTGAAAATAAAAACTCTCAAAGCGACAAACAACACCCTGTGATCCAGAAGGACCATCCACATTCCCGTGGTGTGTATACAGACAATTCCCAACCATACAACTCACCTGCTTATTATATAGACGCCCAGGCAGGTCACCTACAGACTGAGTCACAGGGTTTCTACGTATGACCGCTGGATGGTCTTATCAACCAACCCCTCTTGACAATTCTCTCGAATTATGTTGAAGAGTACCAGAGAGATTCTGGCCACAACCCTTCGAGTGGCTAAAACAGAACCAGGAAGGCTGATTGAAGTCTTTTTATAACGTTGGACACGTCAATAACAAATCTCCAGGAAGAACAAAAACGGTCTGAATTATATAGGGTCGTTTTGGGACTTGGGAGATTTCAAAAGCTAAATGTCCAGAAAAGATACAACTGCTACAGAAGAGAACCTTGATCTTCTTATCACAGAAGAGTGTGTTTGTTGTAATGACACCCTTGGACGCTCACATATTTGACATTGTGGTAACTGTTATAGAGACGCACATTCCATGCCTTATACAAACTACAGAACATGGACGATGGGGAAAATCGAGGAAAAGGACATGTATTTCTGTGACACGTTGGAGGCATCGTGTGAAAACGAGTAATAAAAGACGACAATGATCCTAAACACGTCTATCTTGCCAGACAATGAAACGACATTTGGTCGCTTGAAACATGGACACGAAACTGGAGCGTTCAAACAGGGGAACAGGACCTAGACAATAAAGTGCTTCATCATTCACAGCGGAGGCATCCTGCGTCTTGGTCGCACCCTCGATGTGACCTTTTGCTTCCGGGTCACATTCTCGATATGGACATTCTCCATCCGGGTCACAGATTCGTGGAGTCTGTTATGCGCACAACCAGGAAGGGATATAACTTGGGGTTAGATACCGTTACCTCATCCCATGTTGATATGTAAATAAACAACTGCGTTTTTCATATGTAACGTTGTGTATAGCCATCATCGTCACACATATATTTATATTACACGTTCCTGTGACGAAACCAATATTCAGTCTGTGTTCTTACTTGTAGATCCTATTTGGGGAAACTCTTTCGTCACATAGTGACCTACGATCTGTGCATTTGCGATGATCTGAAACGCAGTGTCATATTTGGTATTGATACTTTCACGAAATAATATTTCGGATTAAGTCTAATTTATACACATTTGTTAATGTCACTGAAACCCAGACTACTATGAGTTCATATAAATTATGCCTACAGATGTATTTGTTTCTCAGTTTACAAATCATAAAACTATTATGAATGCATTTTAAAACACTGTTCTTTACGGTTAGACACGCATGCGTACTTCAGCATGAAGACAGTAAGTGTTATTTATGTCGATTGTGACAGAGGAATCTACGTTATATTGATGCTTTTTTGTTTTTGTATTGTTATAAATTGTGTATTTAACGTCATATTTGTGTGAAATACTCTAAGATATTCAACAGAGGGTGTGTAGAGACTGACCTAGATTGAAACAGTGACATTAATGCGTCATTTTATATTCATCAGTGGGAAATTAAATTAGGTAGACCGGACACTGTGCAGAGGCTTGTCCCTTTGCTACTAGGTTCAGTAACTTCCGGGTTCTTGCGTGGATCGATGCTCATGATGTCAATCACTGGATTGTCTGGTCCAGACTCGATTATTTACAGACCGCCGTCATATAGCTGGAATATTGCTGAGTGCGGCGTTAAAAGACAAACAAACAAACAACTTCCGGGTTCGATCCAATTCGGATCTTGGTCCCAAGTATAGGCGTTACAGCCGTAACAGAATATACACAATGTATTTTATTAGGGACGTAAACAAGACTTGAACTTTGTGTCTGTCTATGGTGTACACTGAAACCTGTTTATCCAGAAGGCGTCATTCCCAGTAAACACAAATGTCCGGATTATGGAGTCAATAAGACATACACGTTAACAGTGATAGTCCGGATTAACCGGGTTTCCAGATTACCGGGGTTTCATTGTGAAGTTGTCACTGTAGCGATGTACCATTCACGTCAGTACTTACTAAACCAACTATATCACAAATACAACCATTTCCTATAGGTTTGTTCACGGGAATAGGAACTTCCGATTTACGTAATGAAATTTTACGGGGTATTCTCCCAGTGACCACTCCCTGTTAAAAAAAGAGAATGGCAAAGAATGAAATCAGACAAGAGTGAGCACCCCGATCGTATATATATATATTCAATTTGTCATATTTCAGTGAAAATACCAATGCAGTCGGGAATAACCCATGATACGCACAACAGGTTTGTGACGTCATGAATACCTGAACGATAAATGTCGTACTGTAGGATATATGGGAGGTTCAAGGTGGGGTTATAGTAGCGATTTCGAAAGGGAAAGCATATTGAATCAGTATCACAATACAATTCCTGATTGCATTGATGTGATCTACGATTGCATTTTATTCCTGTTATTTTTGTATAAACTGATGGTGACTAAATTGAAACAAGTAAAAAACGGTTGTTCGATGGTAATGTATTTGATACGGGTGGCATAGTTGTGTTTTGGAAGTTTGCAGTATTTCGGCGACTGTTATCAGCCTAGCATTGTTTTGATAACTTTTGTAATAGTTTGGTCAAATCCAATTTTCAAGCGTATACTTAATTTCGCCAGGCAGTTTATATAAAGTAGATGGTTGGTTGATCCCAAATATACAAAGTTTAAACATTTATTTCTGAAGTTCAGATTCCCGTGGTTATTGTTAAGTTCCAGATACAGTATTCGTGACAACTGTCTCAGACAGGCTTAGAGGTAGACCCTAGATGACCACATATTCAGTTGGATATCAGAATGTACATGGCTTTTATTCAGTAAAACTCATGCAACAAGCTCTAAGTATGAGATGTTTCTAGGTACGTAGCATGTTGGATTATTTGAATTATTGTATTGATGTGTTCAACCTTACGCCAGAAATCAAACTCTTAGTCAGGTGTCCAGGACTATTTAACCTAACCCCTAGTCCCATTTTCATGTTATTCCAACTACCAAACGCCCAAAGTCAAATCAATTCATAGAAAATCTACACGTGTAAGAAAATCGGCATCCCTTAGCTTTTTATCTTTAACTTATATTTCTTTTTAAATTTTACACACAACGACTTAGTTCTGAATCTTTCCTGTAAGATAAAAATTAGAAAGGGATAATGCATTATATTTTTCTTCTTTGCGTCATTCCAATAAATTTGGATACATAATCTCGGATGAACGTTATACTGTATTTCAAGCGTGTAGGGTTAATATTATATCAGGTTATATGAATATTCCCTTTTTTGGCAGAAGTATAAATGTCGCCCTTCTTTGTAGCGCATTCTCGTTTCTTTACATCAAAAAATAAGTGTTGAGTTTAGAAATGCAATTATCCCCTGAGGTGGCGTCAAAGGAACTTTCACTATATTGACGTATAACGTCGGAGTTGAATTAGGTGAAGGTCACCTCTCGGTCCACTGACCGTAAGCTCGGACAACCATTGAAACGTGATGCTAAATACGGTATTTGTTAGCATATACCCCAGCGGACAAACGAAACGGTGATCATTTTTTATCATATCATAAGGTTTGGGGTGAAAAACGCAAAACTTGATTTTATGTTTTTTTAAAGGTATTATCTGCACTAAAGGTAAATTGGGTTGAAGATGGGCTCGTCTTTTTATTTCTTTTTGTTTAATATTCGAGTTTTCAAATTATCGCCACGTTTACACTTTTCTTTGTTGTTTAAAAACTCTCTTTTTTTAAATTACTGCTTATTTTCAATGTCAACCTTAGATGTACAACAGTTCAAGAAAACATGAACTTGACTTCCTTTTTGCCCAAATACACACATAAACATAGGGTGAGTATCACAACAAATGTTTATTTGTTTACTCATTTGTCAGATACACCAATCTCTGAAGCTATTATATTTCTATCATCAACGTTATTATTTTGACATTCATAACTGTATTTGATCACAGTGACTTTGTTCGCTGGAATACACTGCTATCTGAGCATAAGCTCAAAATGAAGTTGTTGACAATATTGTTGTATTTTACACACAAAAAACTGTTCCTCACGACAAATGCCTTCTAGAATTAACATGTTACATACAATGACGCGGATGACGGGGGTACCCAACAAAAGAATGTTGACAACGCGTCAGTGTAAACCTCGACTTGAAACATTTTGTGTCTGTCAGCTTAACATGTACATTCGAACTGGAAGCGTCAACACTATTGACGTGTTTCCCATGTGTCTGTGAGTCACTGTGGCCCTGTCTTTGTCTGCCGTTCCCTGTGTTGTGGTCAGTAATAAATTCATTTGCATACATATTTGGTGTTTATTGCGTATTTCATTTAAAACGCTGGTGACAGGGTAACCTCCCAAAACCCCTACATCCCATTTCCCCTAGCTACAGCTTAAGAAAACAAAGTTCACGGTCCATGGCACTGCTAATCCCTAGTCTGTTACCTATTTCATACAATGGAACAACCCAAGAAACACGAATAGATTGAGATAAATATGGATCCAATCCATGACTCGCCTCGATAATGATACTTGTTTTTTTCAACACTGCATCCGCCCTGGCTTTCATCAGTGTGATAAAATAATGTCCACGGTCTGCGGTATTGGATTGTCCCTCGACATTATTGTGACGTGCTGTTATATTTCTGAAATGTTTTTTGTTCAAAGCGGCGGAACAACACATCCAGTTGCTCACTTGAAGAGTTTTTAACTTGAACGGGCGCTGGGCTAACCGTGTGGTTAATCCATTCGCTCGTCACGCCGAAGACCCGGGTTTCATTCCCGACATGGGTACAATGTGTGAAGCCTATTTCTTGTGTCCCCCGCTGTGATACTGCTGGAATATTGCTAAAAGCGGTTAAAAACATTTTCACACACACTTATAACTTAACACAACACATTTCTCGTAACACATCAATGAGACAAAACGTTACATCGTTCCAACAAATACAAAAGTTATTTTGAATAATATATAATAATGCATAGCAATGCGTGATATTATTTGGCTTTGACACAGGATCTTGTGAGTAATCCAGTCCAGTACAGGCATTTAAACCAGAGGTCGATAGCATGCACAACGATGACTGGATAAAAACACATTGTAATGTTTTTTGAGACACGGGAGGCGCCGCAATTCGCTGTGCAGAGTTGCGTCCCTTGGACACGCTAGAAACCTATGATTTTGGCATTCGTCACCACTCGCCCCTTTCCGTAACCAGCTAATCGGCTTGTCCCGGAATAACACGACTTGGTCACGAATGATGATTTTGGGTTCGAATTCCGGTTCTCCTCGATAATGTCTCTAAGTTTGTCATACCCGTGCACGTGGATTTTACCAGTGGTAAACGTCTGAGGCCTGCATCACTTCGGGCATATTAAGCTGACACGCCGCGATATAGCTGGAATACTGTTACAAGCGACGTTAAACTCAACTCACTCACTGTAATACTAGTATTTCATTTGCGATGTTGATAAAATGTACATGCTTTAAAAATAGTTACCCATTTTTTTAAGATAATGTCTTCCAAAATAGAATTCGACCTCGGAAACGTCGGCCAAATCCACGTTACGGACCAAATATATCAAGTTGCGAGCGCATATTCGAATTTCCAGAAATCACGTCATGATAGAATAATGTTTTATCGTGAAATAAACAACGCTTTGTTTTTTATTGTTCTTTGCGATTTATCGCGTAGCTTTCTGGTATTCGAAATATAAGACAGTGATAAGTGTTGTCCAAGAATGTATTAAATGTTTATAAACATCCAGTGATGTCATCCTATTGTTCCCCAATCGGTCCGGATTAAATATCATAAACGGGGATTTTATAATATCCCGATTATAAAATATTAAAATATTTACAACTTTCGATGATATTGTAACATGTAAAAGTCCCTCGCTAGAGACTTATTTTGAAGACAATGCAGACAACGAAATGATGTACAATCAAATGACAAATGTTTCCTGTGTATTTCAAAGTATTGAAGTTGCATATCTGTAGGCAAGTGAGTAGGCCACTAGACATCAGGGGGCGGTTAAACCAACATGCTTTTGAGAATGTTTTTTAAAAGTCCCCGCACGCCAGGAGAGACATTTTACGCCCGTTTCTTGTGGTTCGTGGAAAGTATGTTTGAAACAGGCTTTGGTTGTGTTTCAGTTGCGTTATCGTGCTGAGCGTTCATGACATTATGAGAACTTGCACATGTTTAAGGCACTCGTGGGTGCAGCAAATTGTGTCTGGTTTCATTATCTTGCGACCGCCTCCGTGGTCTTGTGGTAGAGCGTCCGCCCGGAGAGCGAAGGGTCCGGGGTTCGATCCCCGGCCCCGTCACACCAAAAGACGTTAAAAGATGGTACTTGTTGTTACCCTGTCTGGCGCTCGGCATTAAGGGGCTAAAACAAGGACTGGTCGGCTCGGAGTCAGTATAGTGTGTCTGAGTGGGGTATTCATGTTAAACTGCGGCATGGTATCTCAGTGGGCTATCGCTATAAATCGGCATCAGTCCAGACTAGTACATGACACACACGTACATGCACCTCGCTATATAAGTGCAATAATCTTGGACGCGACGTTAAACCCAATTTCACCTTCACCTCATTATCTTGCATATATATATATATATATATATATATATATATCATACAACCATACTGAACCAAGCAACACAAAAATAAAAATTGATTTAGGAGTGTATTCACAAGTACAAAAGTATTTTGAACCAATTAAAATTGTTCAGGATGACAAATAGCCATGTAACGTCCAACCCACACAGCAGTACAGTTGCAAGCAGTAACGTCAAAGTGAACCACCCACTGGTATCAAGACGTATAAAGTATAGTATGGCAACCTCCTAGTCCTAGGTTTGCTTCATGGTGGCATTCCAAACATAAATGTGATTAATAATACATCTAGCCATGCAGATCCCTATATCCATATGTTGTGGTGAGTTGTTTTAATTGTTGTTTCAATAAATTGTTTGTGTGGTATATTTAAATGATATATCATGGGGATAGTCCTTTTTGGAATTTTGGTTCAAATCTTTATTACATAACAGGAGCCATTTTGAACCAAACATATAGAATACACATTACCAGTGTAAATGATCACCTTTCGTAAATATTCACAAAATGTTATGTACAAAGCATTCAAGCTGCCATGGATTTACCCAGGCCCGTTTAAAAGTTACAGTAAACTACGGTTATAACGAACTCAAAGGGACTACTATTTTTAGTTCGTTATAACCGTAGTTCGTTATAAGCATATATACAGCATAACTATGGCAAATAGTCGGGACTAAAAAGTTAGTTCGTTATATCCGTCAGTTCATTATAAGAGTGTTCGTTATAACCGTAGTTTACTGTACTTCATTTAGGTATCACAGTTGAGAATGTTAAATGGCTGATATCTCAAAATGATGCCATCGTGTTTGGTTCTATATGGCGTCATGGTATCCAGTTATTACCTACATTCAGCACAGGAACTCGTTAGGCAATTTGTGTAATCTGCGACCGCGGGACAGAGGAAATATAGAGACGTCTCGAAGACTGTACCGAGACATAAATTGCTGTAACTACCGAGTTCATGTGCACTCGACATGCGTTATCTCCTTGTGCGTTCATGAGTGTCAGTGAGAAGATGACGTCCAAGGATAAATGGGAAAATCTGCATGCCTCATCCCTGCTTCCTTTTGGATAAGCTGTATCCGCCACTGCAGCGTGAAAGCGGCGTGTGTTTGCGAACAGGTAGTGGCGAAGAAGCGATGACGCGGAAGTCCCCTAAAGATTTATTTGTTGAAGTTTTATAAATATCTGCGCACACACACAACCCACCCCACACCATCCCCTCCCCCCACCATCAACACACACACCCCACCACCATCCCCCTCCCTCACCCCACAATTTCCCCCTCCCCCACCCCACCCTCAAAACTTTGACTTTCAGAAGAGGGCTTAGGGCTGTATCATACTTTACAACAATTTTACTTACTATAAATATGTTCATGCCCCCCCCCCCCCCCCCCCCCCGCCCTCCTCCCCAACCCCTGTACATGTATCCTTATTTCATGCATCCTACCCACCCTCCATAATAAAGGACCAGAACCTACATAATGTTCAAGATGAGACAATTCTTAGAATCTTTGTGAATACCGCACCTGGGTCCGGCTCCTCAAAGCGATCGCAGCCCTAAGACAGTCTTAGCTATTACTTCTATGGTAAAATGTGCTAGTAAAGATCACCTTAGTTCTACGTTCGCTTTGTTGATCGGGCCCCTGAATTCTCACGGTAGGCCAATTTAATTCAGCTTGTTATTAGAAGGAACTTGAAATATTACCATTGAGGGGAGAATAATCTTCACGAGTAAATTAAAGGTACTGAGGAGAATTGTAACTAAACGAAATCGGTAAATAGGATCATGTTAATGTTCAAGCAAAGGTTATAACATAAAAAAATACATTGTAAAATATGGCTTATTAATTTGTAAGCATCGCGTTTTGAGAGATTGAATATGTCTATGTTTGCGTTGACTGCATGAATTGTCCTGTGATTGTTCTCAAATGTGGCTCAAATGTGGCTCAAATGGCCACATGTAATTATAAACACCGGTTTGCTTTTACTGTCTCCTTTACTGAGATGAATGTGAAGTCTTCACGTGTGTGACCAACGGTTCGACATAAACATAAGACGATATCAAACAGGCTTCAGCGACAGAATTATTAAAAGATTTTACGAAACTTCACTCAACTTTAGCCAACAAGTATGACTTCAATTAATGTTTTTGGCGCTCGTTTTGTTTGTTCGTTGTTAAACACCTGACTTAGCGATATTTCAGCAGTATGACGGCGGTCTGCTAAATATAAATTGATGAAAAAAAAGATGAGGGTCGTCCGATCGGTGTGAATTTGCGATTACTACAGAATTCAAAGGATGTGTGGCAATACATTTTGTGCAGAAATCTTGTGCAGTATTAGGCTTGTTGTATATTCATGACGGCTACGAGATAATTCACAACATATAATACGGAGACACCAGAACTTCGCGTGGAATTGGAAGGAAGTATTCTTCATGTACAAAATGAACTCAGGTTTATTCCCAAGCATAACATAACTAATATTCTATAGGTTAACCCCCCCCCCCCCCCCCCCACCCCCCCCACCCCCCCACCCCCCCACCCCCCACCCCCCACCCCATTAGAGCTACAATCGTATTCATAATTAAGATATATTCCGATTTCAGTTAGTAATCCCTAAATCACGTAATTATCTTTATTTATTCCATGATTTTCTTCAGTCAAATACTCTACTGGAC